TCCAGGATGGCAGCGTTCGTCTGAAAGCAAGACTGTATTTCTTTGTTGTGTGTTGCAGAGGCCATTGACTGTCATCCATTTCTCTACATCCTGGAACTATGAGTTATCACCAATGCCTAAGCAATCCCCTATTTCAGTGAATTTGTTCATTGTATTTTTCTGTGCTTTGTTTTATGTTTTGAGAGGTATTGGGGCAAAAAAACGCCCAAATCGTCTTTTCATCCAAAATTAATTCCAGCTAAAATAATTTGTTGTCCACTAGCAGGCCTTGTGATAAACAACATTTCATAGAAGTCTGCCTGGCTACCAGTATTAAAAGCTGGTTGTCCCATGATAATATTGGGTAGTCTACTGGGTGGGGTAGAAGCATGCTAAAAAGGGTGATTACAAAAACACGTGTCGTATTGCTTAATTGCTCAACACCCATAGCATAGTAGTTTTGTTAGTCGGGACTACTAATTTGGGTTCGTTCCATCCGTACGTACGTACGTCCGGAGCTACATCTGACACCCATTGACAGATTTCATTCAAACTTTACATGAAGACAATACATAATGTATTACATATGGGCGTCAAGTTACTTTATGATCAGAGAAAAAATGGCCGACTGGCGACCATTTTGGATGTAAAATTTGCTATTTCTGATACCTAAACGTGTTCGCAGCCGTTTCTCGGAGATGACTGGGCCGATTTGGATCAAAGTTGGTATGATGATCATACATATTGGGTTATAGTTGCATATCATATTTTTTCTGTGATTCAAACTAATATGGCTGACTGGTGGCCATTTTGTTTTTCATGATACCCATCCCTACTTTCCCACATTTCAGTTTAAATTTTGTACAAAGACAGTATACCAAAAGATACATCAACATGAACATTATTTTTGTAATTTGATTCAATATGACTGCCCAAAGTCCAATTCTCGTGTAAAAACACTCAATCATATTTTTTTACAAATCCATCTCCTATTAATGGTTTCAATCTAATCTCAATGACTTCATCAGCATCAAAATGATATTTCAAATCACAAAATAACAATGACTTGTTTATGTAAAGTATTGTATTAAAGTATCGCCTGCTGCACGAGGCCCATTTTTGACTCCCATGTGCGAAGCACAAAATGGGAGTCTTTGCAGTTAGTGTGTCTGTATGTGTGTGTGTATGTGTGTATGTGTGTGTGTGTGTATGTGTGTCCGACTGTTCCACTGCTATCTCAAGAACCATACATCGGTTTTTGATGAAACTTGGTGCATAGATGCTCTGGGCCAATGCGCAGATTTGATTAGGTTTTGGTAAAAATCCATGCTCGTTAATTACCTAATTTGCATGATAATTAGCTAATTTTTAGCTGTTCTATGACTGTTCCACTGATATCTAAAGAACCACTCATTGGATTTTGATGAAACTTGGTACATAGATGCTCTGAACATATGCGCAGATTTGATTAATTTTTGGTAAAAATTCGTGCATATTAATTACCTAATTTGCATGATAATTAGCTATTTTTTAGTGGTTCCATGACTGTTCCACTGATATCTAAACAACCACTCATTGGATTTTGATGAAACTTGGTACATAGATGCTCTGAACTAATGCTAGGTTTTGATTAGTTTTTGGTATAATCCGTGGACACTAATTACCTAATTTGCATAATGATTAGTCAAT